CAGTTTACCGAGTGCAAATTTTATTGTGCAGTGAGCATTGAAAAAACAAAATAATACTCTCTCCGTAAACAGGTTAAATCATCAAAAAGAAAAACGAGACATATAAACAGGGTTATAGGACATTTTGTCTACGATTTTTTATCCGAACACTTGTTTTTTCCAGTAGTTTAAGTCCACGCGTTTTTTTCGGCAGGGAAGTTTTGGTCCACTTACCAATTATTGAGACCCAAAGTTAATTGGTCAACAAGTAAATACAAACATCATTTGCTCACGACGTTTTTGGATGAAATGTAAAATGCCTTGGAAGAATGAAGGTTTGCTCGTTTTTTGTTTGTTTGGTTGGCCAAACGGGAACAAATATATAATGGACCTGTTGCATGCAAGAGATACAGCCGCGCGAATAGACTTTTCAGAGGTTAAATGACTCGAAAATTACGACGGTCACATTAAAAAAGTCTGAAATACACTCCTTACTGCGCAATTTGCGTTGTTAGGAACGCGCTTTTTCAAATTTCCCGCGTCTGGGGGCAGTTTTCTAATCACCGGAAACGAGCAAACTGCGGGCTCGGTGATTTCCGGAAGATGTCGAGTCGTTGTTGTTGTTGTTATTTTTTCCTTCAGTTTGTTTACAAACCCAACGTGATCTCTTATAGTGGTCCATATACGCTATATGCAGTAACCAAGTCGATCAACTTTTAAATATCCAACGCAATCCTTCCACATTTCATTTCACGATATCACGAGCTCCGATTTTTAGGTTATGTTGTCAGATTTAGTTGACCGGAAATAGCCGCGAGTTGCCGTTAATTGTTTCCGTCAGAAAACTGCCCCCAGACGCGGGAAATTTGAAAAAGCGCGTTCCTGACAACGCAAATTGCGCAATAAGGAGTGTATTTCAGACTTTTTTAATGTGAGCATCGTAATTTTCGTGTCATTTAACCACTAAAAAGTCTATTCGCACGGCTGTATCTCTTGCATGCAACAGGCCCATTGAGAATTTTGGCGTCAATGCCATGAGGGAATATTCACTAAAACTCTCTACACCTCTTTAGTGCAACCGGACTTAATTATCTTTCAAGAAAATCCCATCTTCTTATACCTGAATCGGCTCTTAGATTTTTCCTGTGTACGATAACTTGGCGACGGGGCCTCGAACTACTATTTCGCCATGAAGGTGTTGCACAGTATCATACAAGATTGAAGGCACTCCAACGTATCATGATTGATGGCATCTTTCAAAAGCACGAAGTTCCCTCGCAAATTAAATCGAGTGACGACGAAAAAAAAGGGAGCTGTAGTCGAAAAACTTGCTAAGTCCAAGTATCTGATCCAGCGGGGCGATTATTGAAACGATATCGACTGAGTCTTTCAGTCGATGGCACGACACGACAAAGCGGCGACATAGAGTCGATGTCATTTCAATGATCGCCCCGCAGTAACGTTTAGCATGATTGTTGAACTTAATTAAAGGAAAAAATGACTTGATTCAAGCAGAAATATGCTCAAATTTACCGCCCGGAAGATTTCCTTATAAATCAATGAAGACAATAATGCCTGTTTAGAGAAAAAAGGATGCTTAAATAAAAAGAAAAGTCACTTAGACCAAGCAGAAACCCGCTTTCACTCAGCTATTTTATTCTTGATTCAAAATAAAATCTTCTTGACGGCATACTCAATAATGTTTCTGCCTAGATCGAGTCACATTGTTCTCTAATGAAATTCAAAAATTATGCTAGCTAAATGTTATTAAAAACTAATGCTAGGACTAAGTGAGTTTTTTAGATTACCACTGTTTTTTTGTAACGCAGTATCTTGATTTATTTTGCAAGGAAAGCTCTGTACCCTGAAAGGAAGCTTGTCATTCTTGATACGTTGGAGCGCCTTTGATACTGTGCAACATCTATGTCGCGAAATAGTTGCTTGAAACGCCGTAGCACTCTGCGACGCGGCGGGCGACCAGCGTGACACGCGCATAGGCGCCTACAAACCTAACAGGGATACTTCACGCATCACGCAACGCGTGAAGTATCCCGATAGGTTTGAAGGAGCCAGTGCGCATACCGCTCTGTGTAAGGCTCAAATATTTAAACTGGCGGAGTCAGCGTTGTTCAACTCACGATTTTGAAATATTTGAACGCTCTGCGCGGATTAGTCTCATTTAAATTGATGAAAAAAAAAAAAAAACATGTATTAAAGGTAAATATGACTTGTGTTTTGAAAATATTAGGGTGGTTCCCTATGGTGGATTATTTCACTGTGTCAATTATGTCACTATGACGATTATTTCACTATGTCGATTATTTCACTATGTCGATTATTTCACTACGGCGATTATTTCACTATGTCGATTATTTCACTACGTCGATTATTTCACTACGTCGATTATTTCACTATGTCGATTATTTCACTATGTCGATTATTTCACTATGTCGATTATTTCACTATGTCGATTATTTCACTATGTCGATTATTTCATTATGTCGATTATTTCACTATGTCGATTATTTCACTATGTCGATTATTTCACTATGTCGATTATTTCATTACGTCGATTATTTCACTATGTCGATTATTTCACTACGGCGATTATTTCACTATGTCGATTATTTCACTACGTCGATTATTTCACTACGTCGATTATTTCACTACGTCGATTATTTCACTACGGCGATTACTTCACTATGTCGATTATTTCACTACGGCGATTATTTCACTATGTCGATTATTTCACTATGCCGATTATTTCATTATGTCGATTATTTCACTATGTCGATTATTTCACTATGGCGATTATTTCATTATGTCGATTATTTCATTACGTCGATTATTTCACTACGTCGATTATTTCACTACGTCGATTATTTCATTACGTCGATTATTTCACTACGTCGATTATTTCACTACGTCGATTATTTTACTATGTCGATTATGTCACTATGACGATTATTTCACTATGTCGATTATTTCACTATGTCGATTATTTCACTATGGCGATTATTTCACTATGTCGATTATTTCACTACGTCGATTATTTCAATACGTCGATTATTTCACTACGGCGATTACTTCACTATGTCGATTATTTCACTATGTCGATTATTTCACTATGGCGATTATTTCATTATGTCGATTATTTCACTATGTCGATTATTTCACTGTGTCGATTATTTCACTGTGTCGATTATTTCACTATGGCGATTATTTCATTATGTCGATTATTTCACTACGTCGATTATTTCACTACGTCGATTATTTCACTATGTCGATTATTTCACTGTGTCGATTATTTCACTATGTCGATTATTTCACTATGTCGATTATTTCACTATGACGATTGTTTTACTATGTCGATTATGTAAATATTAGGGTGGTTCCGTGTCTAATTTAATGATTTCCAAAGCTTTTTAATTTTTCATTTATATTTTGTGCTTTTACTTTGGTGCAGCGTAGTGTATTTGCAACCAAACGCTCAAAGTTTGACTGTAAAAGCTAGATGTAAAAGTGGGTTAAAACCAAAGATTGTGTCCTTCTTGTTTTTTTCTCTCTCTTTTTCATTTTTGTACAGTTCCTTTCAACACAAGTACGGCTCATTGAGATTAGTATCGCTGCCATCGCTTGGAAAATGTTTTACAAATATTTGCCACGTTTTAAAAATATAATGTTTATAAAATGAAGTAGTTAGTTAGTTAGTTATTATAATTTTAAGACATTCAGCGTCCGACAATATTCACCAATGAAAATTTGAAAAATCAACCGAAAGAAGAAAGTAACATTTCATTTAAAATATGAGTTACCATAACAACACCTTCTTCTCTCTCAATTTTCTAATTCGATATTGTCATCTTAATTTTACATACGGACTGAAATATAATCTTTGGACCAAGTCACTATTTCTTATTTTACGCGTGGACGTAAATTACTGGACTAAACATTTGCCCGGACAAAAAATCGTTGATGGAATGTCCTGAAACCAAAAACAGGACAAAAACGAATGAACGCACCCGAGCTGCTGAAAACAACTTGCTACTTCCAATTCAATTGGATTCTAATAAAAATGAGAAGACTAAACTTAGCACGCATATTTTTGAATTTCAACAAAAAAAAAATTCACAACATATGAGTGCATTCACAACATATGAGTGCTGGGGCTAGTCTTTTCATTTTCATTTTTTTAATCTTAATAATTACACACAAAATGTGTTTTTCCTTATATCGATCAGATTACCTTTTCACATTACTGACAGTGGAATGGTATAAAATTAGTGCAAAAGACTGATTACTCATGAAATTACACATGATTCAAAAATAGGCTGAAATCAAATGAGCGCTTGGTCACAAGCAACTATTGCTGCTCCTGAGTCGATGAATATGCCTAATCGAGTTTTGAAGGCAAACTAAAATGAGGACGAGTCACTGTAAACATTGTCTTTAATAAGTCAATACTACAGTAACCAAATTAATGGAATCCATGGAACAAGGCTAAGATGATGCAAGCAACAATAACTGCTCCCAAGTAGATCACATTGTCTAGTCGCGCATTTGAAGGCGGACTGGTGAAACGAGTGCAGGACACTGTGGAAAGAATAATTCATGTATTTCGGCCATGTGAACCGAATAAACTCTCGTTGAAACTGCTACGAGCAACTAGTGCTGGTTCTAAACCAATCGTATTGCCCAGTCACGTTATTGGAGGTGAATTGATATAGAATGAGTGCAAAACACTGTGAGCACATTACATAATGGACCAATAGACACTGTAAAGGAATTGCGCGTCACAATTCATGTCCCCGCATATAAATACGGAGTATATTTTACAAACTTTAAAATTTACAAATTAAACTCATAAGTAAGAAACTAGCCTTTTCTGTGATCGTTAGATCAAACTCCCTATAAGTCGAAAAATTCAAGTTTACTTAAATTAAGACGGTCCTTACAAAATTGACATTACGATCAAAAAGTCTTCTTGGTGATATGAAATTCCTTTGAATAACTCAACTTACCTACGACATTCAAGTAGCCGAATTGTGTTTTAGCTGCTACCGTATTTATTTGACACATGTACCGGCCTTTGTCTTCCTCTTGAACATTTTCTATGTGAAGGGACCACGTGGTGTGTTTGTCGTGGCTCATGGAAATTCTCGGGTTCCGAGTGATCACGTGATTTTGGACGGTCAAAATGGCCGACTGCTCGAAATGCATCCACGCCACCTGCAACAGACGGTTAGGATAAAATCACTGAGATGCAAATTTATAAAATTATTTTCAAAAAGGCTAAGTAAATGGGCCTTTTGCAAACTCTTGCGTTTTGGCGGTTTTGCGTCGGCCATGTTGAATATTGCATAGCATCCTACTGCGCAAGGGTAGAATGGAACGACTGCTCTAACGAAATGTTCATTTGTGCCACAGTATCGTTTTTGAAGCGGGAAGCAAAAAAGAAATGCAAGTTTTAAAGTCTGGAGTGCATTTCAGACTTTGCTGATGCGCTCATCGTGATTTTTGAGCCATTTTCTCTAGGATACAACCCTCCATTTTGTTCTGGCTGAAGTTTGCAAAAAGCCCATTGATCCAACCCTACTCTTTAAATGACGCTTAAAAGATTTTTATTTAACACTTCTAAAAACAATAATAAGTTTCGCAAATTTCACTTTGAAGCAGGGAAAAACAAACGGTTCAACAAACTGCTACAAGCAATTAAAGCTGCTCTGAAGTCGATGAAATTGCATACGCGATTTTTGAAGGCGAACTGATCCGTGTACGAGCCGTATTGTGACGAGTATAGTAATTAATGTGCTGATGTGGATGTCACGAGATGAATAGAATGTGTCTGAAGTACTACAGACATTTTTCAAGGAGAGGAGGAGGGGGAGGGGTTCCTCCGGTCAAAAATTTCTCATAGCGAGGAGGGGGTTCCAAAGTAAAAAGTTCCTGAGAATCATATTTTGAAATTTCAAAGTGACGGAGTACTTCTTTTAGTTTATACAGAGTTGTCAAATGATTTATTTTTTATTAACCCTGAGGTATTGAAATGCCTCATAACATGTTGGCACACCTTTATTTAATGTACCGTATCTTTACCTTTGCACGGTAAAAACCAACATTTCTACAAAAGCATTCGGTTCAATTTAAGTCCAAGTAAACGTTCAAATTAACACTACTCAGGGTGTGAAAAAATACGAATTTAGCATCGCTGTATTAGCCTTCATATTGTGACACCCGAGGTTGAACTTTGACCTGTTAGATTGTATTGTCATGGGCTTTTTCCGACCTGCCTCGGGGTCCAAAATATGGGTAATTTTGGCAGAAGCTTTTTCACCACACCCTCTTCGACTTCGAAATGAGGTGCNACTCTTATTTTTGCACTAGCAAAAGTTTGCAACAGGCCCATTAACAATATTCAGGGTGTGAAAAAATACGAATTTAGCATCGCTGTATTAGCCTTCATATTGTGACACCCGAGGTTGAACTTTGACCTGTTAGATTGTATTGTCATGGGCTTTTTCCGACCTGCCTCGGGGTCCAAAATATGGGTAATTTTGGCAGAAGCTTTTTCACCACACCCTCTTCGACTTCGAAATGAGGTGCTTGGAAGACACGGCTCATAAGTGCAGTTTTAAAAAAAATTGAGATATTACCAATTTCAACTAAAACAAGCCATAAAATGTTTTCTGTAAAATTTTTAATCCCAAAATCCACTTTTCAAGCATCAAAAAGCGAGTTTGAACTTTCTTTCTGCTATATAGCTCCATATAATTTTGAAACTCTAAACACCTATTTCTCGAAATAGGAAGAACTGCACTTACGCGCCTTGTCCTCCAAGCCCCTCAAATGGACGTATTTCTATCAAACGGAAATATGGGCATTGAGACGTTAGCCCTGATACCCATAAGAATATATGCATAACAGGGCTCACGTCATAATGCACATAGTTCCGTTTGATAGAAAGGCGTCCAAATAAGATTTGAGTAGAGGAATATTCCGCCGTGCATTTTGATGTTTGATGACAGACGCTGAAGAACCGGGGTTCATCTATATATCAGCGGTGTCTCCCTCTCACAGCCGCATCGTCTAGAAGCATTGCTTCGAGACAAAAGTCATGAGAGGTTTGAAGGAGGATGTAATGAGTTAAACGAGGTTTTAAGGAAAGGAGTGGGAAAAGGGGGTGCTAGCTAACACCCGGTGCTTCCTGCGTGGCGAACCCCCTGTGCTCAGTTCTTAGCTCTTCTTAATGTATGCTCCTACCCTGCTTTATTAAAGCAAGCTGATGCCCAGCCCTTGTTGCAAAATTAATCGCGAAAGAGAAAGTAAAGTGAATACAGATATCACGTGCCGACTTCATTGGGCAATATTTGCAGATCGATTACAAGTTTACTCTGGACAGACCAATTTCAATTTACGAATGAAACTATTCGACTGGGTGTGTGTAAAAATGTATCCACGCTTTTTTATTGCATCAGCTCATGAGGGTTGCGAAATCTCAAGAATGATTTTGCGGCGTGTCCGAAAATGATTGCCCGATATACTTTCGGATTGCTCTTTGGGGTTCAAAAACTCTCTGAAAAATTTATCGTCGCCAAAGCCGGTTCAAGTTGTGGATTTTTTCTCGAAAATGTTTCCCTAAATATTTTTCAAATAATAAAGACATTTTAGGATTGCTTTTTTGTGTTTTTTTTGTGTGTGTGTTTTTTTTTTTTTAATTTCTTTGTGATCTCTGATGTCTGCATTATGATGGAGCAACGGAATGCAAGATCTTGACATTGAAAAATTTACACCAATCCTTAATGTGGAAATCTAGCACACTTCCCATGAAAGAGTAGACTTTTAAAATCATAACTAATTAAAAACACGCTAAAATTCATTACCATACACAAATTCATTGACATTGGACGCTTTGAAAAAGTTATGCTTAAATTTTGGAAACAAATTCACCAGTTTGACAGGCTCTAATGCCGAAAAAGACGATCGTGCTAAGATTTTGTGAAACAAAACTGACCCTAAAATAAATTTCTAAAGCATAGAACAGCTCCGGGGCATCCTTTATTATTACTCATATACATTAATTTATGGTTTTGACTCTGGAATTTTGGGCCATATGAACCAGAATTTTATATTAATATCAACCGCGCGTGCGATATCGGTATAAAAAGGCTTGAACTGTCAGTAAGATATGATCTTAAAAGTGCAAGTATATGGTGAAGAATATCTGAGAATGTTGTTGATGTGACAACACTGCATCATCTCCCAGATTCCACAAAATTTGCTTCGGACATAATTGCTGTAATCTTAAATCCGTTCTGGTTTGATTGATGGTTTCATTCCTCTATAACCACAGCTAGTATCGTTGGTTGGAGGGTTGCGGGATTCAAGGGTAGACTTTTCTCACGCGGAAATCAAGTTACGTAAATTCTGCGAGACTTCCACCGATTCCGAAAATGGTCTACTGTCAAAAATCGTTTGATATTTTTGAATTCAAAATAGATGAGGACTATAGAATGAAGTGGTAACCATATATTTTATCGCCTATCAAATTAAAGTTCATATGTTTTGTCTATATAAAAATTTAAGATTCTAAAGCATCTTCGAACTTTTTGAAGAATTTTTGGGTGTTCTCCGTGCAGCAATTTCCACGTGCAACAAAACTTAGCCAAATTTGACGACAATCCTATGAGATAAATTGACAATTTTGATTTTTTCTCCGTATTTCTCCAGGGACTTCCGAAATCTAATGTTTGCCAACTTATTATTTTCTTTCTTTAGATTTGACTTCACAAGCGTGATGCATTGATGCATTTATCTTAGTTTGGTTGAGAGCACCTGCACCCCTCTTGCCCTTTTCATAATATGGATGAATTTAGTCGGAAGTAGTCTAACTGCATTTCACGTTGTATAATTCCCTCTTCTACTTTATTTTCGGGACAACGAAATAAACCTCACGCCTTTAACATTTATGAGAATTGACCGTAGATTATGAGCAATATATTAACAAAATTTCTGCTTTGATGATAATTTTCTGTCTGAAAATAAAACATCAAAGAAAATTAGACAATGTCACATATAGTTAGGCCAATTAAGGAGCTTTGAGGGCAGAGCTCGTAAATGGTAAAGCTCGCCTCCTATTTCAAGGAATACGCGTTTGAAGTATCGAAATTACATGGATCTTTATGCCGGAGAGAAAGTTCAAACTGACTTTTTGATGCTTAAAAATTGGAATTTGGGAGCAAAGTTTTCACAGAAAATGCATGGAGACCAGTTTTACTTGAAATCATTTATATCTCAAATTTTTCAAAATCTGCATTCGTGCGCCTTGTCCTCCAAGCCCCTCAATTCCTGTTAAATCCGCCCATATATCCTTTGTACACTGAAAGTAAATTGGTAGAATTTACCATTCCTTCACGCTGTATTTTACACAGCGTGAATTCAAAGTCGATTCTGTCAGAGGGAAGGTTACCTGTACGTGCAGGTACTGCAGTATATAGTAACGTTTACCATTTTTCTGGCAGAATTGACTCTGAATCGACGCTGTGTGAAATAAAGCGTGATGGAATGGTAAATTCTACCAATCTTCTTTTCCGTGATCAACCAAAATGAACATACTATATGTGTCCAAACGTAATGTTTATATCCACCAAGAATATCAGAAAAAAGGAAGAAAAAACAACAATAAAGCGGTTGTATTTAAGGGCAGAAAATTTTGAGCATCATGCGCTTCTCATTTTAAAATGTTGCTCTCGATGATTGAGGCCTTTTCAGACAGGATACCCCGTAATAATGAGTTCCCCTCTCCCGAAATTCCTCTCTGTTTTAACGAAACAACTAAAAAGAGAGGGAAGATGCAGGAAAACAAGGGGAAGAGATTCCGAAAGGTGCGCGCATAATTCCGACATCAGTCTGGCTTTTGTCTCACGCGTGCCCGCGATTGAGCCCAAAAAAGGTGAATAACTTTTACCCCACCCCCGAAACCGCGCTTTTGCCGAACCTTCATCGGAAACAGGGAGGAGCTCTCCGTCTGCTGCGGAAAAACGGTGTACGTGCAATCAAAGGTTGCCAAATTTCATCCCATAAATTTGAATTTTCTGACCAAATTTTAAATACTTTCCCTCGAATTTCTCATGGAATTTCGTTCACAATTTATACTACACTGAAAAAAAAATCTCGGTGTATATACTAAGAAAAGGGTAAATTTACCAAGAATTCACGGTTCTATTTGATCC